TAAAACAGCAACATTTGGTAGCGGCATCAGCACCAGCTGCTGTAGATTATCCTGAAAGAGCAACACACGTGAAAGAAATGACAAGCATTAAAAACCTCACTGGTGCTCTGCTGTTATCCCAGACAATGCGCAAGTAAGAGGTTTAAGTATGACATGCATTAGAGCGAGAAAAAAGTTATTCATATGCAGTCATGGCCAAAAGAAAACAAGCCTGATTGTGGAAAATAGGCTTATTAATCTGCAGCAACTGACATCTCATTCAGTATGACTAATGATCTTGTTATTACACTGCTAATTTTCTAATGCTTTTAAAAATGACTTACTCTTACAAAAAGTACTGTGGCAGTACCATACAGTGATATAATGTATTTAATGATTACCAAATTCATATACAGTGGTATTTACACGATTCCAAAAAATACCAGCAATTTACATAAATCCAGAAAGTACCAACTGTGGTACCAAGTGTCTGTACGAGAAATTCGCAAATGCTGTAAAATGTAAACAATTTTGTCAAATAAATAAATAAAATAATAACAAAGTAAATTAATTAATTCATATATATATGTGACCCTGGAGCACAAATCCAGTCATAAGTAGCATTGGCAACAATACACTGTATGGGTCAAAATTATCGATTTTTCTTTTATGCCAAAAATCATTAGGATATTAAGTAAAGATCATGTTCCATGAAGATATTTTGTAAATTTCCTACTGTAAATATATCAAAACTTAATTCTTGATTAGTAATATGCATTGCTAACAGCTTCATTTGGACAACTTTAAATGCGATTTTTTTCAATATTTCGATTTTTTTGCACCCTCAGATTCCAGATTTTCAAATATTTGTATCTCGGCCAAATATTGTCCTATCCTAACAAACCATACATCAATGGAAAGCTTATTTATTCAGCTTTCAGATGATGTATAAATCTCAATTTCGAAAAATTTACCCTTATGACTGGTTTTGTGGTCCATGGTCACATATGGGTATTTGACATGCCCTGTGGTGTTTTTATTGTTTTAATTTTTAATAATTAAAGAAAATCTTTAACAGTTTATTTGTTATTTTAGTATTAATAGTATTATTTCTAATATTTACTTATTTTTGAATTTTTCGATTTTCATTTTAAAATGAAATTCTAGTTTTAAGTTTGTTTGTTTTTTTACTATATTTCTCTTTAGCCTTCATTTACTTTTATTTCAGTTTTAGTAATTTTAGTATTTAAACTTATTTTACTTCAGTCAGCTGCCAAGGCAACATTTCTGATTTTTGTTTTAAGTTTAAGCTTTTTATCTACACTCTCAGAAAAAAAAGGTACAAAAGCTGGGGCGGTACCCTTTCAAAAGGTACAAATATGTACTATTTAGGTACTAATGTTTACATTTTAGCTACTAATACTGTATGTACCTTTAAGGTACTTATATGCACCCTTTAGGGATAAATAAGATACGAAGGTATACCTTTTGAAAGGGTACTGCCCCAGTGACAGCTTGTGTACAATTTTTTCTAAGAGTATAATATTTACATTTTATTTCAGCTTTATTTAAATGAATGAAAATAATTTTTAATCGTTTTACTTAATACTGGTTGTTTAGTAAACAACACTGGTTATTTCACGTAAGATTTCTCTTATACTTTCACAGAAATGTATGGATCACTTGCCTATATTTAGTGTAATGATTAATCAGATATGTTTCCACAAAGATAAACCAACTACTGTGTAGTCAGCAAGCACACTTTGTTTTTATTTTAAAAGTACGAATGTAAAAATTACAGATAACGCAGGTCAATACAAAGTCAAGCAAAACCATGATTTAGAGATTTTTGCTACAGTTTTCTAATGACTATAAGCTTTTTGCTCTCATTTTAATTTTAAAATGTCCGGAACATTAAATACTTTGTCATTTCCACATGCTTTGTGTGAATATAGCAGTGTAAAAAACATGTCCACAGCTAGGACATTTGAAACAAGAAGTGAAACCACAGAAACCTAAAAAAACTAACATGGCTAACTTGTTCCACAGCTACAGGGGCAGTACATACTGTTCAGTGAGATACTGAGTTGTTCATTCATACACTGCTTACCTGATATTTACCATCAGGTGCTGGGAGCATTTTTATTTTAGTCAGGGAATCAAGCAATATTATGCATTTGTGGAATGTACTTGCCAAGATATTTCTTATGTTTTCACATAGTGATTTGACTGATGTTTTAATTCAATACCTGATAGTATGATCTCAAGTGTCGATTGAGAATGGAAAAGTTCTGTACCCTGAGAATCTTGTCGTCACCCACATTGTGGTAGATTTGTTCTACCTTTGGATTGGGATCACTGATTAAAGAAACCAAACAAAAATGTCACTGTTGAACTATCATCAATGAATCGTCAGTCAGCTTTTAATCAAGCTACAATATTCCAAACAAAATAGATGACTTTAATTTTTTAGACTTTCACTTTGTAAGTCTGTCTTACATGATCCTCATGACCTCATTGAGGTAGACTCCATTGGTAAGCTTCAGGTACCACCTCACGGCATTCTGGGAGTTGGAGTTTACCTCCATGTATTCCTGAGAGAGTGATCCATTGTCCTCCTCATCGACAATACCCTCAAATAGATTAACCTTACAGACAATAAAAAAATAATGCCCTGCTCACATCAAGGTTGTCTATGAAGAAAAACTGAGATCTGAATATAACAGATCTTTGTTCTCTCTTGTGAATGCTTTATCTTATATGAATGCTTAATGCTGTGTCCTATCTACATGAAGTTTGCTAAAGTTATTTTGCGGTTGTCCAGATCAAATAGAAAGTTTCACTTTGACTCTAAATTCTAAAGAAATCATTGAGATATTTTAAGATATCCCTCGCTGTTTAAAATAACTGTTTTAAAGCATGGTAGTTGTTTTTAGCTGGTCCAAGTTAGCTACAAAAACCAGACTAATAATGTTTGACCAGCTGGTAGCTAGTTGCTGGTCCAAGATGGTCTATCAAATTGGACCAAACCAGCTAGCATGTTCCAAAACAAAGCTAAGCGTGTGAAGTTTTCAGCAGGGAAGAGAATAAATGTTGACCATTTTTTATTTGTTAATGTTCAGATTTAACTGTGTGAATGCTTTATCATTCCTGTGTCCTATCTACATGAAGTTTGCTAAAGTTATTTTGCGGTTGTCCAGATCAAATAGAAAGTTTCACTTTGACTCTAAATTCTAAAGAAATCATTGAGATATTTTAAGATATCCCTCGCTGTTTAAAATAACTGTTTTAAAGCATGGTAGTTGTTTTTAGCTGGTCCAAGTTAGCTACAAAAACCAGACTAATAATGTTTGACCAGCTGGTAGCTAGTTGCTGGTCCAAGATGGTCTATCAAATTGGACCAAACCAGCTAGCATGTTCCAAAACAAAGCTAAGCGTGTGAAGTTTTCAGCAGGGAAGAGAATAAATGTTGACCATTTTTTATTTGTTAATGTTCAGATTTAACTGTAAGTAACATGAATTGATCAAAAATCCTTTCTGAACATTATTTATAGTTGCAGAATACTTCGTAAAGTTTACAAAACTTTTTATCGAACAAAATGAAGATTATCAATGAACTTTAATTGTTTTTGCTTACCACCTACCCATGTAACAAGTGCACTTCCCATAAATTCTTCTAACATTTCCGTAACGTCTACGTCCATCTTCATGTACTGTACTAGCCTACCTGATCAGCTTTATTCCTCAAAACACAACGGATTATTTAAATAATATACTCTGAAGAGTAAACTCATGGTTACCGTAATTCCCTTGACAATAGACTGTCAAGATAAAACTGTTTAGCTGTTAACATGTTTGCTTTCTGTGCCTTTTCCTTCCTTCATTAGTCACACTTCGAAACCACACCGGAATCTAGAGTTGCATTGCACTGGGTCTGTTCCCCTCTGCGCGTCCTCATGTCAGCATGACGCCCGTGACGCGCGTTTCCACATTGAACAGAGCGAGACCGCAACAGAAGGGTTGTGTCTCAAAACCTCATAGGCCGCCTATCTAGACGGCATTTTGAGCATCGATTCATAGCCACTCTCCACAAACGCTTCTCTGATGTCCAAAAATACATTACGCGCCTTATTACAGCAAACTGCTGTCTAGGTAGGCAGATCACTAGGATTTGAGACACAGCCTATGTGTGTGGGCAGCATAGGAAAATTAAATCTATTCATGTCAATGAAAGTCATCGACAGTGCACCTAAAATAAGTGATGTAGGTTACATGCAAATGCATCTATGCATGATTTGCAAGGTGATTTGGGTGCGATATTTCTCGAACTTGAGAAGTGACAGAAGAGGACAAATGAGTTTTTGCCGCTCTCTAATGGTGAATCGGTGTAGTGCGCTGCCAGGTAACGAGATCTTTTGTAAATGTATAATGTCTTAACTGTCACTTTTAGATCAATGACATGTCTTCAGGCTAAATAAAACTATGAATAGCTTTTTTTGAATAGCCTATTGAATAGCCTATTTGTGTAGCCTGTGTGCGTGCGTGCGTGTGTAAAAATTCCTGGAATGACCAATCCATTGAAACAAGTTGAAATTATGATCACTAGTGCAAAACTAACTGCTTTTAATAAGTAACTAGAGGCATGACACAGTTGTATTTCTTGTGTTGGCCTAATGTTTTGTGTGTGAGTGCTTTGGCAGCAGTCATAGTATTAACCATCATCAAAGGGATAAAGAGATTTCAGGTATCAGAACAGGACACCAAACAAAATGGCCTGCTGCATTTGCTCAGCGTAATCCTATTCATTTCTCTCGCACTCTCACTTTGTCTTTCTCTCACTGCATAGGCAAGAAGAGGAAATAGATTTACCACTACACCATTTAACAAGGGAAGTTAAGATCAGGCTAGTGTGAGGTAAGAAGTGTCCAAATGAAAAACACATTTCAACAAAAAAGTGAAAAACAAAAATAAGCACTTGATGAACGTTCACAATGACCACATGACTTCATAGTTCAGTTAAAAACTCAAATCTTTATTTTTCGCATGCATCTTTTGCAATTTCACCTCTTTATTTTTGTCTATTTAAGCAAAGCATGAAGCAGCAAAACATCTACAGACCACATGTACTATTTCATTGCCTTCATTTCCTTTGGAATTTTCTGCTTTAACTCTTCTTTATACATCTTCACTTTATATATAATTGTCAAAGGGGTATTTTGGTATTGTCAGGATTTGCATTAACAGTTTCCAGTGTTTTGAGAGGTTACTGGTTTTTACCTCAAATTTTTGACTTCATTTAACAATATAATGAAGTAACAATGTTACATTGCAATTATGATTATGTAATCCCTTTGGATGATGATAATCAAGGGCAGTTAGCACTCATGTGCACATTAACATTCATTATAAACAATCACACTTGGTCTTTTAGGCTGTGGCTGGCTTTTCTGCCTCTGGCTGTGTGTCCGGGGTCGCAGCGGATGCGTCGCCCACCTGAGCAAACTGGAGGAACTTCTTCATCTTTTCTTTAGTCTCCAGCAATGTCTCCTTCACTCCCTTCTCCAGGATGTATCCCTCTGTCTCGATCTCCACATTCTCCTGTCCAATCACACCCTCCATTGCAGTCTGCAGATAGCGCAGACTCACCAGAATGGTCATCTGAAGGCAGAAGAGATATAGAGGTCAGAGTTCAAGCTCCTTTAAGACATTTTCTTCAGGTAGCTCTTCTTAAAGAATCTTCCTAAAGTAATAGTTCAGCCCAAAATGAAAATTCTGTCATTTATACACCCTCATTGTCATTGCAACCCTGTCTGAATTTCTCTCTTCATGTGCAACACTAAAGATGATATTCTCAAGAACATTGGGGTCCAAAACAACATCGGATTCGGACCCTAAATTTCATTGTATGGGCAACAAAACACTGAGATTATTATATATATTTTTTTTTTAATCTGTTCCACAGAAGAAAGAAAGCCATAGAGGTTTATAATGATGCAAATGGTAACCGCATTTTCATTTTTGGTTTTCATTTTCTTTTTTAAGAGTATTTAATTTCCTCCTTTACAAAACATTTTTGTTCCCCTGTATTATAACCACTGTATTATAACTTATGGGGCCCGAACAACAACAAACTACACTTGAATTTATGAAGTAACAACTGATAGTATGCCATGTTAAATATCACACTTTGTAGATAGCAAAGCAAACCTACTTTTCCTGGTTCTCACAGCAGACGTTGGTTTGCTGTCTATTGGATTAGTGTATGAGAAGCAACTAATCATGCGGTTAGTGTTACAAAGCTGTGACTGTTATAAAAGCTGAGAACGTGATGTGGTTTTGGGTTAAAGTTATTTTAATCCTTAAATAATGAATATTGACACCTTTGAGTTCACAACCATACTGCCAGCCGTTCCGGAAATGTGTCAATATTCAGTGATGAGTGTGTGAACAGTTCGATGTGTTGAGCGCATTAGATTATACAATGTGTTATTCAAGGTTGACGCTTAAAATCATGTTGTTATTTGGGGGAGTCCTCCAAAACATTCATAATGATCCTCTGACGTCAGTTTGTAGGTTAATTTGCTATGAGTTCCCATTTACCATGAGTTGCCATGAGTAAATTAAGTTCTGTAGTTATCATGATTCAACATAAATTACAGCATTCATTTCTAAATTGTTGAATTTCTTCAGAACTACCATTCAAAGTTTGGGGTCAGTAAGATTTTTTGTTTATAAGTCTCTTATGCTTACCAAGGATGCATTTATTCGATCAGTAAAAATACTGAAATAAAGAACATACAGTAAAAATAGAAATATTGTAAAATTTTATTACGATTTACAAATTACATTGCAATTTAAAACAACTATTTTCTATTTTAATATACTTTAAATTGTCATTTATTCCTATGATGGCAAAGCTGTCATTGCTCCAGAGTCCAGTCTTTAGTGTCACATGATCAAATCATTCTAATATGCTGATTTGGTGCTCGAGAAACATTTCTTATTATTGTCAGTGTTGAAAGTAGTTGTGCTGCTTAATATTTTTGTGGAAACGTGATACTTTTTGTCAGGATTGTTTGATGAATAGAAAATTCAAACAAACAGCATTTATTTGAAATATAAATCTTTTGTAAAGTTATAAATGTCATTTTTGATTAATTTAATGCATGCAAAACTCTTGCTGAGCCCAAACTTTTGAATGGTAGTGTTTTGCTGACAACAATTGTAGTCCTTATATAGCATTTTCCAAGCAACTTATATTAAATTAGGGTGTTCAGAATTCACATGAATAATTTATGTTGGAGAACAAAACACAAAAGTCTAATACAAATCTTATTTTACTCATAAATCACAAACTTCAATTATAAATGCCCATAGGAGATTCCTGAGAGAAGCCATGACACGGAAAAGCAAATTATTTTTTCTATTTGGACTAGGAGGATCAGTGGCCTGTAATTACTACTCATTCAAGCCATTAATTAGCTCATACCTGGAGAAGGAAATCAAATAGTACGCAAGGGCCGATGGTGTTCATTAAACCCATGTAGTAGTTGACAAGGGCCTGGCGGCAACCTCGGTTGTACAGGTTCAGCTCTTCACTCTGGTACTCGTAGTTGTAATGGGCAGAGTTGTCCAGGAGACTGTACTGGATACAGGGTCGGGGGGAGGCAGGGTTACAGCAGCTGAATGGGACCCCATCCAGCAGATATCGGCCATCTACGTTACTCCTCACACGACTGTCGCCAGAATGGAATAGACAGAAACATAAGACTATATATAATTTTTCTAGTTCTGTTACACTATTGATTCTGCAGCTCTCTTTATTGACTTTCTGATCAATGCATCAGGTTCATTTGGTGATGGTTTCGGAATATAACGTTCTAAATTCTGATTCACCTTAGAAGCTAAAAGAAAGCATTTTGAGATGTGGGTATTGCCTAACTATTGATACCTCTGATTCACCCTTCACCCGTCACATTCAGGAGAGAGAGCAGGAGCGTGAGTTTATCTATGATTTTTGGACTCACTCTTTCACTTCTTTGGATGTGAAGTCCAGGTAGTGGTTGCTGATCCACTGCACCTCAAACCAGTCCCTGTAGTTAGTATTACCACAGCACTGGAACTCAATCTGTAAACGGTCAATAGTCTCCTTCTGGAAACAATGGCCTGGTGTGTCTGTATCCTGTAGAGGTATAGAACATCAGATAACTACTTTAAAGTTCATTAAGAGAAATATGTATGACTTGAAACCCTGCAATTCAGTTCAATACCAAATTCTTTCTATTCTTTGGATTTTATACTTCAGTACATTATGTTGTCCTGCCTTTGGAAATATTTGTTTGAATTAAGTATTGTCTAGTATACAAAAGGCCTCTGAAATGCCAGATTTATTCATTAATTCATTCATTTCAATATTGCTGACATATAATCAGGCCCAGACCCATGTTTACTCTCTTTACTAAAGGCTGATGCTTCAACTGAAAACTTGAATTTGTAAATTAATCAGTATAAGAAAACGGCTTCACCTACTATTTACATTTCATTAATGCATTTGACAATACTTTTATCCAAAGCGACTTACATTGCATTAATGGTATATATTTACATTTTAACAGTTCTTGTTTCCCTGGGAATTGAACCCATAATGTTGCTAGCACCATACTTTACTGTTTCAGCTACAGGAAACCATTAAGCAACTTCAGTTCTTCCTGCATCTACATATAACCTACAGACATCATCAAAAGTTTTAGGTTACCTATTGTTATGTTACATACTGTAGACCTTGTAATTATCCCACACCTGTTGAACAGAAGGATTTTTTTTTAAATCCTTAATTTCTTTCCACAATGCTCTTTTCACTCATTAATTGCTGTTAATAGTGTTCATCGTCTGTTTGATTACGTCTTTAATTGATTTTTCCGTACATTTCTGCCATATTCACATTAACTGACAGTCACCACTGATAAGCTACCACTAAATATTGTAGAAACTTAATTTGCTGTAAAGTTGCTTTGCAACAATTTGTATCGTGAAAAGCACTATACAAATAAACTTGAATTTAATTGAATTTAATTTAATTTAATTATCAGGTTTCATTGTGAGGTTTATTGACTTCATTATAGATACAGGCTCAGGTAGTGGTGCACACTACAGGACATTATCTGAGTGCCAATCCTCAGATTATGTGAGATTATTCCTCTCAACAAGACAAAGTTTAGGCCTGTTACACTGGTGTTGACAGTATAAATGAAAGGAGTAATTGTTGTAGTATTGTAAATATAATAGTAATTTATTCATTGTGTCAAATAAATAATATATGCAAACCATTAAGTAAATATTAAGTGAGTGAGTGAAGTGTGGCGTCCCATATTCAGAATTTGTGCTCTGCATTTAACCCATCCAAGTTTACACACACAGCAGTGAACACACACACACACACCCAACAATGCTGCGGCGCCCGGGGAGCAGTTGGGGGTTCGGTGCCTTAATCAAGGGTCTCACCTCAGTCGTGGTATTGAAGGTGAAGAGAGCGCTGGTTATTCACTCCCCCCACCCTGCCTACTCCCTACAATCCCTGCCAGACCTGAGACTCAAACCCGCGACCTTAGGGTTACAAGTCCGACTCTTATCCATTAAGCCACGACTGCCCCCTATTACTTAGTAAAACATTTCTAAAAACCGTTAAGCAGTGCATTTCTGATTATCCTCTCACACACTTTATAGATCCTAATGGACTATAATGACAGACACACTGCGCACTGCAATTCGTTATGTTTCCATTTATGTTTTTGGCAAACAAGCATGTATCTAGGGATGCATTTGTACATCACATTCTTCAATTTCAGGTTCTATTACTGTTTTCTAATTAAGAAAAGTTTGATTACCTCTGATCTGCGATGTAGCTCAGTTTTGAGGAAGACTCCCATAGCAAAGGTGATGGCTCCAGAGAACATGGCCACCCATGAAAGCAGCCATAGACCCTGGGCCAGACGCACCCTCTTTTGGAAGGGGAACTTTATTTTTAACAACACCATGCTGCATAGGAAGAAGTGTAGGATAGAGGAGAGAGAGAAGTTTAGATTGCAGAAGAGGAATTTAATAGAGGTCATGCAGTATCAGTATCAGTATCCAGCACAGCAAAAAAAATCAGTCATTCTCAGGTAAATTCCCATCAGGTTCTGTTACTTCTAATAACAAGGAACAATCCGGTATCACTTTGGAAATCATCTCCATAATACTTTCAATAACTGATACAAGGACGTGGGACAAAAAAATGGTTTTGATGTTGAATTAAAATGACATTTTAAGTTGTCCCCAAGATCATCTGATTTTAGCAGAAGAAAAAAATATTTTTTACCTTCAAGAACTTTGAGTGCCCTTTCTTTCAGACCATGAGCCTTCAATATGCCTCCTACAGTTTGGCAGCCATTTTGATTAGGTCTTAAAAATATGATATAGAGTATTATGTCTTGAGTGTCATAATCTCCTGTCATGTCTGATCCTATTAGATCAATTCCACCAATGAGAATCCAGGCCAGTGTCCTCTAAGCAAACCTGCCCTTGGTCAACAAGTCCAGAAGAGTGCCAGAGGGAGGGGTTTGACGCAAAGTGTGCCATTTAATGGACTGAGAAACCGTGAAACTGAAAAGAATGGAGAAGAAAACAGGCGTGACAGAATGTGATGCATTACTGTGAGCCTCAGTGTATACAGCAGGGTCAAAAATAAATGAAGACTCATAAATGAGGACACAGTTTATGGCAAAAACACACTAAGAGAGATAAAAATGGCCCAGATATTAAAAATGTAGTAGCAAAAATGCCAAATTCTAACATTTTATTTAAACATTTTAGGATATGATATGATATAAAATATATAATTCATATTCCATTGCAGGCCAATCTAGGGATGGGTTAGAGACTCTGCAGACATCATAGTGTTGTGTCACTGCCGGCTGTCTGTGTTTGCTGGCTCAAATGTGAGTGTTAATGTGTCTATAATAGGAAGTGTGTGTGTGTGTGCGTGTGTGTGTGTTTTTAATGCTGACTATGCAGAATATAGATGCTGTATAATATATAATCAGGAGTGGGTCATGTGAAATATAACAAAGCAGTATTAATTGTGTTATGATGAGCATGTGATGCTGACTTAATTTTAATTTGAAATCGGTCGAAGTAATTGATTGACAATTGGATGTCACACTGTGTTTTATATGGATATAAAGACACCCTTGAATTGACTAAGACAGATATAAACCACTCCCAAATGTAGAGCAAATTAGCACACAAGACTTTATTAATACATTTAAAATAAAAATACAAGGATATTCTATAATAAATGTACATGGTTATGTGGCTTTTTTTTTTTTTCTAGCAGAAACTAACTAATATTCTATTAGCTATTAGATTTCACAAAAACAACAATTCAAACTTTCCTAAATGTCACAGTATACAATAAATACACTCTATAAAATACACTCTCCAGGTTAATTTTAATTTTATACAGGCAAATATTAAGCACTCAAAGATAAAAGACTGAGAGTGCTATACCTTCCCGAACAGCTCATTGACAGTAAATTTGGTTAGTTATAAAATAATATGAATATCTAGCTATATTATTTTATTTCTAACCAATCTTTAAATATTTCACAATATCCAGGGCAAAAAGTGCACACAGGTATAAAAACACTAATATTGAGGATAATAATTTATGCATTTAGTAGACGCTTTGACTCACAGTGCATTCAGGCTATACATGTTTTACCAGTATGTGTGTTCCCTGGGAATCGAACCCACGACCTTTTGCACTGCTAACTCAATGCTCTACCACTGAGCCACAGGATACCTTTTGCATATGTATTAAACTACAAATGAAAGTAGGAAACCAGAAAACTAAATGTTTTAATGGATATAGCACAAAACCAGATGGTATATAAATACAGTAATTGTACTTGTAAAGCTAGAAATTAAGTGTATTTCACAAATACCAGAGCCATCAGAGCCACAGCTATTTGCATCCTTGCTGCAATATTGGTAACGGGAGATGTTAGAAATTTCCTATACAGTTTACCAAAAGATGTCAAATTAAATGTTACTGCTTCCCTTCTGTTAGTTCTGCTGCATCTTTCCCTTCACCATCATGCGCTGGAGGAGGAATCTGGTTCAAAAACTCATTCAGCATCCTTTGAGCTGTAAGATAGCTGACATCAGTGGGCTCTTTCCCCACAGTGACAGTTCCTTCTCTACCTGTCTGTCTGCTGAGCCTCATCTCATCTAGATTATATGGGTTTGAGGGAATGAAGTGGATCTCTGTGTTCATGGCTAATTGGTGCACTTGATGACTTGGGGCCTTTGTATCTGGCCATCGTTTTGTGGATTGGCACATCATTAGTAAAAGTAAAAGGAAGTTGTGAGTCACTTCTTTTAGTCACAAGTTGCCCTGGCCCTGCCCATGGATCGTGATCATGTTTCCATGGCAGAAAGGCTGTGGCAGGCTGTTGTCTGGCACCTGAGCATGTGTGTCCAGTCTGTGGCCATTCAAAAACATCCCCTTTTCCACCAAATGGTTGGTTGTTTCTGAGCTCCTGCACCCTCTCTGATTGGTCACCATCTGTTTGGCGTAGAGATGTTTGAGGACATAAGAAGTGCTCCAGTGCTTCATGAGAGTCAAAGTGATTTTTCAACAACTCTCTAATCAATGAGGGAACCTAAAGAGAGAAAGATGTTAACCTTTAACCTTTTGGGTTTTTTTCAACAGGTGATTTGTGTTTTTTTTATGTTGAAATACTTGATTGTGCAGACACAACTATAAATAAACCTGCCGGTTGGCTATAGTGTGAGTAATGTTGCATTTTATTTGTTTTAACAAATTTATATATTTCCCCCTCTTTGTTCAGGGCAGAAATTATGTCACGACAATGCTGATTGGTTGGCGACTATTTGCTGTGATGTATACACATCTACTATACTACAATAAAATATCATAGGTTAATCATATGTATAATATTATAGGCGTACTATATAAGCAGTTTTGTGGGGAATTGACTAGTTTGTGCAAAAAACAGAAGACATCAGTTTGCTGTATCTGTCTGTGGGTTGCAGTTACATTGATGTTTTCCAGAGAGCTGATGGTCTTCTGAGCAGTATCCAGCTGTTTAGTCAGATCTGCGATTCTCTGCATGAGGAACTTCCTCTCTGAGTCCAAGCTGTCTACCTTTCAAAATAAGGTTAAAAAAAATACTGTTTAAATATAACACAGGTGCTGGTATAGCACTACTGAAATTTCAGCAGATGTGAATTTGCATTTTTATAGAGCCCAGCGCACGGGAAAGCAGGTGCTTTAATAAGTAGCCATAAGGCCTGAAAAGAGTACCATCATATTTTACGGATGTGCACTTTATGTATTAGAAATGTATAAAGAAACTTAAGAAAGCAATTCACGACACAGAGCTTCTTTGATTGTACTGTATGTGTATCTTTTGCAACAACCCGTGTTTTCTTGTTGTTCATATTCTTTGTTTTTATATTTAATATAACCATTTATGTCAGGCACAAATCTCACATCTATCCCCCAAAATGATGATTTGGTCCCACCACAGAATCTTGACCTTTTCAGCTGTATCCAACAAAAATCGTAATGGTTCTATTGAACAGATTTACATTTCAGTGTAATAATAAACAATGTTTAGTTAGCTAATTTTAACCTATTTAAAACTGTAAAAAAAAAAAAAACTGTTTATTTTGTAGTCATTTTGTGAAAAATGCCTTCTACAACTTGTGTTAAACTTACTGCAGTTTTGAGTTTCTGCTCCGAGACACCGTTTGTCTGCTGAGAAACAGAATAGCTTTCCTGTAGCCTGCAAATGATACATAACAGAGAATAAAAGATGAGTGCTATCATTTTATGAACTAAAAAACGTTTTTATTCACAGTATTATGTATGGAGTTTAGATGCTGATCTTCTGTATTTCTCTTTGAAGCTGACTAACTCTGTCTTGGTACACTGCAATTCTGGCTCCATGTTCTCAATGCATGCCACCGTCTGCAACAGCTTCTCATGTAGCTCTTTGTTGTACTCCTCCAGCATCCTGCAATATATTACAAATCAGTGTGTTTATCTGTCTATGTCAGGAGGTAAACTGCTGTGTTTCTGCAGAAGCTCAATATCATAAATCATTTGTAAAGAAAAATACTATGACTCTGCTCTAACTGTGTACTGGACAGATGAACATGACAGATGAAAATAGAAGCAATCGATATGGCTCGGGCTGGATGGCAGGGTTTAGGACACGGAGCAGAATAAAATGGGGGAAAGCTCTGGATTAAGAGCGAAATCAATAGTCTGAACTAACCAATCAGAAAAAGGGGGGAAACCACTTACTGAACTCTGTCCACAGAGCCAGATGAATCCTAGGGGCAAGAGAGAAGAGAGAGGGGGTGAAACAGTGAATAGAGGACAGAACAGGACAGAAAATAGAAAACTGATTTTTGAAGTGATATGTTCCAGAGAAGACCATTGATTGATGACTCATCTCGTTCAATTGTGTTAATCAACGGATATGGACACAATGAAGGGTATCCCTCATGCTTCCAGCATAGAGGTTAATCCAAGGCTATCAATAATTCAATCTTTATTTTAATTATCCCTTCATTTTGATCTTTCTGATCTGTGTTTGCTATAGAATAACACATGTACCGATTACAACTTATTAAAATTACTAAAGAGAATCAGATGCTGACTGAATTCTTTGATTGTCATCCATTCGTTTATGTTGCCCAAGTGTTTGTGAAGGGGAAAAAATGCTCAAATAAATACGTTTGTTTAATTTATGGAATATATACACTACTGTTCAAATGTTATTTGGAAATCATTCTAATATGCTGATTTGGTGCTCAAGAAACATTTGTTATTATTATGACAGCTGAAAAAATTTTGTATTGCTTAATATTTTTGTGGAAACCGTAATACATTTTTTTCCCCAAGATTCTCTGATGAAGAAAACGTTCAAAAGAACAGCATTTATTTGAAGTAGAATATACAGTAAAAACTCCTTTACCATCACTTTTTTTGGTGAATAAAAGCTTTCATTTCTTAAAAAAAAAAAAAAATCTTACGGACTGCTAAATTTTTTATGGTTGTTTAAATGTATCAATAATTACAAAACAACATTTGCTCATGCTGATTAGCTTTATTTTTTCATTTTTATATTTTTAATTGTATAAGTTGTGTAAATAATAAATTGTTTATATACATATATATATATATAAATCGTATAGATTTAGACTACTTTGATGTTTATCAAATGTTTATTACTAAATAAAATCTATCTATTTCACAATCAATACAAATCCATCGCACATCTCAAATTTACGTGATAAATTATTACATATAAAATGATTGGAATACAAAACAGTACATTTCATATTTTATGTATGTATTTATTTATTTTAATGTTTTCTAGAAACATTTTTAAGAGGTTCTGGCCATATTTTGCTCCAAACATTACGTTAAACATAAAAAAATTGCTTTTTTGGTCTTTTAATGAACTGGACTGCCTCCTGTGTCCCATGTGTTTGGGTCCGTCACTTTTCTCTGAACTAGCACTGGTGGTTGATTTACTCGACTGGGACTCTGACTCCAGCCCTGCGGCTCGCAGAGGCGGCGGTGATCCCTTCACCTGCTTAGTATGGAAGTTCCTGGACAGGGCATGACTACTTTGATGTCGCCCTTTGTGTTTCGAGAGGTTGGTGTGGATAGTTTCTGGGCTGGTGCTGGTACCATCAGTGGGCATCTGAGAATATTGCCTGTGGTGCTGTTTACCTGAAGCAGCCCCTTGTCTTTCAGCTTTTGAAGGGCGGTGGGGCGGCGGTGGAGGGCTGGTCAGGTTTCGGTTGTGGTATTTGTTCTTATGGGATCGAGAGAGTGAGCTTGAATCTGTTTTTCCTGAATCTGGTCTCTCAGCTCTGATGGGCTGCTGTTTTGGTGGCGGCATGAAACTCTCCTGCTTGCCTCTGCGGTTCTTGCGCTCTTCATTGGGAGATTTTGGTGGCGTTGGTGTATTTATGCCAAAAGAGCTAAGAGCACAGGGACTGATAACCTGCTTGGTGATCTCGTTCAGAAATGCAGAGAACTGTAGCTTCCCTTTCACAAAGTTATCCCTCGCAGCTTCCATAGAGATCTGCTTGGATGTTCCTGTGACGTGCACCCTGGTGGAGAGCACCTCCATAGACTTCGCTTTCCTGAAGTTTCCATCTTTCTGTCGCTCATCTTTGTTTTTCAGAATACCTTTGCTGGGCAACTGAATAGATGAAACAGCCTTCTTGGGAACCACCCTGCCACCTAGAATGTTGTCATTATTGCCCCCAAAGGCAAGGCTTTGTCCCAGGCTTGCAGTCTTGTAAAGTGGCCCATGATCCATGGAGTGAGATTCTGCTGAGTAACCATCTTTGTGCTTGTTTTGTTGAAGGCCCTCCTCGCTTTTGCTATGGCCCCGGGAGAGTTTTGGCATCCGATGTCCATGCTGAGAACCAGGCAGCAGTTCGATGGCGTTTTCTAGGCTGTGGCGGTGCCTCTGATCTCTCTGATCAAAATCAAAGTCCTCGGATTCTCTGTCATGGCTTTTCCTTCGGACCTCAGGGATGTTGGAGCAGGACAGGGAATGCTGGGGTTTGTGCATGAGATACGTCTCATCATCCGGGCGGGGCTCTGAGGTCCAAGATGCAGATGAAGAAGTGGAAGAGGAGGAGGACAGGCTGGAGGAAGACCTTTTAGAGAAGCTGTGATTGTCTCCAGACATTTTAGGGTTTGCGGGATGATAAAAGTGATGCTGGTTGTCGTGGTGATGGTGAGTTTGTTTATCAGTGTGTTTTCCATGACTGCTTGAAGAGCTGTGACTGATTTAAAAGGGGGTTACATAAGGAATTGAAATGAATAATAATGAAAATAATGTCAATATGTGATCTGTTCTTGTTATATATTTACTCATTTACACAATAACAGTAGGGAGATTCAGTGTGTTGAATAACAATTCTCAGTAATTATCTCAGAAAAAATGCAATATGCAAAACAAAAAGCCATAAATTGGGTATGTACATATTATACATATTTCTATACATATATACTGAGTTTTTTTTCTGTTACAGGCCACAATGTACAATTTTCCCACTATACTAATGACATATAGTTTCAATTAATCATAATTGCAGAAAGTAGAAAATAAGGAAGAAAGGTTGTTATCTTTTTGTAATTAAACAAATGCACTGATAGATAGATAGATAGATAGGTAGATAGATAGATAGATAGAAAGGCATTTGCATCTGCTGCCCCTGGAAATATAATATTTATTTTATATTTATTATATAAAAAGTCCAGCCCGGGGTCGTCACATGTGGTTGCCGCAAGCCCTCCAGAGTAGACTACAATGCCGGCTGTTCTGACTAATAATCTTCTGTTCTGATAATCCATAATTATGTCCCGACTGGATGCAACGAATGCCTCGTTTATAATGGGTTTTCATGTTTTTGTGTCGTCGCTCCGGCCGGACAGGGCATCACAGTACGGTAAGGGGCGTAACATTTCCGTCACACGCTTGAGGTATTCGGTCAATCACAACGCACTGGATAGCTGGCCAATCACAGCACACCTCGCTTTTCAGACCGATGAGCTTTGTAAAAATCGATGCGTTTCAGAAAGGCGGGGCATAGAGGAGAAACAATAATGTACAGTATGTGGAAAATAATGTGTTTTTTTAACCTTAAACCGCATAAACACATTTCATTACACCAAATACACAAAATAATGTTCTTTTTTAGCAGCATCATATGACCCCTTTAATTTAGTTTTAGTAGTTCTATTGTATGCTTCTGTCATATTCATTTTTTCTTTATTTGGCTTTTTTTTTCCATTTAAAACAATTATTTTAAAGATCTTAAACTTATTTTATTTCAGTTAGCTGCCAAATCAACATTTCTAGTTTTCATTTAAGTTTTTCAAGGTTTTTATATTTATTTTGTAGCTTCAATGAAAATTGTAATTAATTGTACATATCCTCCAGAGAAAGTTTAAGCACATACCTGTGTGATCCATGGTGGTAATGATGGTTGTGAGGATGCTGTTGAGGTATGGGATGGTAATGTTTGTACATTTTCACCTCATCCTCTGAGGAGCCACGCACAGGTGTGAAGTATCTTTCCATCTCTTATACTTGCTACACTATCAGTATTTAGCTATGTTACTCTGTTGATGCCTCCCTTGTAATTCCTGAAAATGATTTGTTCAGCTCTGATTTGGGCATGTGATCCTTGCAGTGTTTTGTGGTCTGTTTAAAATTTGTTGTTAAAGTTCCAGGAATCTGAAGAATGAATGATCTTCTAAAGAAATATATTCAAAAGTGCATCCTTTCACAAGCAGATGTTTCTCCACCAGGCTAGAGCAGCAGGAGTAAAACAAGTTTAATGCTGCCAGGGCTTTCTGTCACCCAATATCCATCTGATTCTGATGTAATGACTCCACATTGAAGTCAGTGAAAACACACCCTCATGGGGAGAACACAGCTGGAACACAATCGATTGGCTTTGGTGAAAGGACATTGCATTACATGGCATCTGGGTTACATACACAAAATGGTGTGAATGAAATTCACAAGTCTAATCAGTTACATCACAATGGATTTATTGGAAGACATTTATATTCAAAGGCATAGACAAATTGTTTCTTTTCATATGGCATTCTTGTCACATATACTATCACATTTACAAACAACATATTTTGCTTTATAATGCCTAAGTGTAATTGAAATGGGCATTTTGTTAATAACTTTATTATTGTGCATTCATTTTTATGACTTCAGAAATCCAATCATCATCGAAAAGGTGATAAAACGTTAAAAACCTAGCACATGCACCAACTATAAAACATTAGGCCTATATGCATCAGTCAACTTCCATTTCTCATGCTCATGTTCAAAACACATGGAATCTGATAAATAAAGACTAAATAAAAAATTAAGACTAATATATTATTTCACTGGCTGAAGGTTTTCATTCAGGACTGACAGTGTTGGGAAGGTTACTTTGGAAATAATTTTACGTTACAAAGGTTACAGATTACAAGTTACCCTATTTAAAATGTAATAAGTAGTGTAACTATTTCAATTACTTTATTAAAGTAATGTAACTGATTAACTTTGATTACTTTTCTAAATTTCAAATTTTTAACTGTTAATCATTTTCAAACATGTAAACCAGACAGGGTTAACCTTAGTGTATACTGATCAACACTGATTACTGTCAGACTTTCACAATCCTTCATCACTTGAATTAAGATTATAATCATTTAATTTTAAAGCACAACTACCACAAAATCAGGCCCTTTTTGCTTTGAGATCATACTGAGGTTAAAT